TGTGTTCTGCCAAGAATAATCAGTATTGATATTCATGTGTTCAGTAGCTCAAGGTCAGTAGTTTCCTAACTCTGGCTCTGGTTCCATGAAAAAATACTGTTCACCTGCTTGGCACAAAGAAGAAGCTTCAATTGATGCCAATGGAAGCATATTTCCAAGAGCAAATAGCAACTTTGGGAAGATAATTTTTATTGGGATGCTAGCATATTAGAAAAAAAAATTATAATTTCTAAGCCAACGTGGTAGAGTCCCAATTCACAGGTATTCCATAGCTGCTATTTACAGAGCATAATACATATGTTAAACATATAAATCCATTGGGCACTAAAGGAGTGTTCAAGTCACTGGACCATCCTAACTATATATATGATAGATGTGTCCCAGTTGTATGCTATTTTTCTTTTATAGCGCACTCAATTACTTTGATTGGAATATATATATATATATCACACAAGCTTAGAATTTTCAGTTTTATTTGTCCAGGTATAATTGGCTTCATTTGAATGCTAATCAACTCACAAATGAGCTGGTAAATATGCAAGAAACAGCAGATGCTTTGGTTGGTTGATTATTCTTGATTTCCCCTTTGAAATTATGCAAATGATCATTAGGAAAATACTTAAAATGCTGATTTACTTTTAAGTGTGCATTGTTTCATTTGTCTGCTTTGTTATTCCTGTTCTTGCTTTGAAGACTGAAAGAAGGTGAATTTAAATAGATATTTACTGCAGACTTCCATCTATTAGGAAAAAGTTGATTCACTCTATTAGAATAAACTCCATGAAGGTTAATCTTCCTAGTTAACAAGAAATTGCAAAAAAGGGGGATATCAAATTAATTCACATTTCTTAAGACAGAGAATTTCTTTAGACAATGCATGGTTAGACTTGAAGCCAAGATACAAATCTTAAGCTTCAGAGCCATCAATTTTTCCATATGGCATAAAAAGCTAGTGCTGAAAAGAATGAAATGTACCTCCTATTCAGTTTCACATCTCTTTCTACAGTGTAAGCATTAGCTTTGTTTTGAACTGATCTCCTAACTGATCTGCAAAAGTCCATATTAGATACCAGTAAAGAGTGAGTTTTCCATCTCTAACAGCTATCCATGTTTTTGCAATCCGGACATAATAGCCCTAATAATTACTGCATATGTAAACAATTCTTCATTTCCCACTTTAATTAAATTAACATTTAAAAAAAATCTCATACATGAGTCTTCAGGAAAGCAAGTTATAACATTAAATTTATAACACAGGCTAGCAGAAGAAGAAAAATAAAGACCAACTCACTAAAAACATGCTCAAAATTGATTACAAAGTAATACTAACTAAACCAGGTACCTATTAGAAGTAGAAGTATCTACTTCTTATAGAAAAAAGTTTAGGTTCATTGCAGTACAATGTCTTCTAGGTTCAACAGTTCTAAATTGGTCAAAGATACTGAAAGCTGCTTAGCTGGCCAAGAAAATTAAGGTGGTATTGTACTCTATAGTTTACCATAGGTAATCCAATTTAGAAGTCCAGAACACTCTCAGTCCTCATCTAAAATTATAATGAATAATAATACATATAAACTTTGGAAAAAGATGAATTGTCTTACTACATAGAAGAAAGTTGTTTCAGTAGCCAATTCTGTGGAGCACTGTTTCTCAACTTTGGGAACTTTAGGACATGTGGACTTCAACTCCCAGAATTCCGCAGCCAGCATGATTCTAGAAGTTGAATCCCTCACATCTTAAAGTTCCCAAGTTTGAAAAGTATTGCTGTGGAGAGAAGGAATTCAGTTTTTGGGAAGTTCACCAGTTGAAAATGGGATTTTATGTTTAACTCTGATTCTTCTTCAGATAGCATCCAATATAATTGGATATGATTCCTGATATGTTTTTTTGCCCCGTCATGTGCATTTAGGGAGAAATTGGTAGAGAAATGTATATCATTAAACATGGTGGAGTTCAAGTACTTGGAGGTCCTGATGGCACTAAAGTCCTAGTCACCTTGAAAGCCGGAGCTGTGTTTGGAGAAATCAGGTATTCTTCTTTGTTCATCTTGTGATTTTTTTCAGAGAGCTAAACAAATAGCTATTTTAATAAATTATTATCTGAATATCATTTCCAGAGAGGAAATGTTTCTTCCATCACAGATCAGTGCACACGAGAGTTTCTCCATATTGTCTGACGGGAACCAAAATATAAAGTTCTTGACTGAATTCCTCCTGTCTTTAATCTGTAAGCCACATCTTCCACCATCTTTTTCCATTTTGACCTGGCTAATTTGTTCTGTGTGTTCAATAGCATAAGGGGTGGAGTTATTGGAGAAACTAAAGGTCCTTGCCTCTGTCAAGCTAACCAGCCAAATATTACTCGGAACACTGCAGAAATGTTCTGAGAAGCAACTGATATGTTGAGAAGATGATGACATCTGAAAACCTATGCACTAATTCTGTGAAATACGGCACACTCCATACCCTTGTAATCATCTCACTATTAACCTCAAAAGTTATCATAACTTTAAGAACGAGAATTATAAAGGAATAGTATGCAAAATGTGAAAGTGAATTAACTTAATGCTTGCACATGTTTTTACTTCCCTGAACATTTCATCTCATTCTAATCAAATTACACACACACACAAACACACACACAGACACACCATTTGGCACTTAATGTTATGGTGAAGCTCTGGTTTTTTTTTTCTAATAACACTCAGCATTATGAATGAGTCAGAAAAGGTTTTCTAATATTACTAGACCAGTAGAAATCAGATCAGGCTGTAAATTGTCCCTGTACGTTTATAGTGTGTAAAAGACTATAAAAGAATGTCCCGAGTCATATTTGAAGTAACATTTCATCAATATATAACTTCAGTAAACATATCCCTTTTTATTTTGTATAGGAATATATACAAATTTATATATAGGAATATATAGGAATATATACATTTGCATGGACTCTGACTTGTTTGCACTAGTTCTAGCATTATACAGAACAGCTGGAACATAATATAATATGATTTTTCTTATCTATTTAGTTTTATTTATTTATTTTATTTATTTAAATTTAGCAGAGCTACCTAATCTCTGGGTGGCATACAAAACCATAAAAATCCTTTTCAATGGCTATTGCATCTGTCATAATAATAGAGGGGTTCAATAGCATTTTGTTTGGTAGTGGCTCCCCAATTCTTGTGCAGAAATCTTTTTCTTCTTGAGAGTTAGCACGCAGGTAACAGATTCCAAGCATGTATATATTTTTCATATTTTTAAACTACCCATCTCCCTCAGAGCATATTATCTATCACTGGCTAGGGCCCTTCCTATAAATTTTAAGTTAAAGATGGTGCTTCCAATTCTGTTGAAATAATTCCCAGGCAAAAATTCCCAGACTATCTTATTGAGAAGTCCAGTGTATCTGACAGCATTAAGGTGGATAAAGCTAGTTTGGACTTGTTTTATTTTATTTTTCAATAAAAAAAATGAAAGTGGCATATAAATTAGAACAATATACCAAGAAGGTAATTAGAGACCAGTAATAGGTTTTTATTCACAATGATATACTTTAATTCCAATTATCTTATCCCTTTTACCTTCTTTCAAATGTCTTATCTTAATGAGACCAGATTGTGATGCCTTCCCAATAGGCTAAACATAAATTGTCTTTCATGTAAAGTGTTTTCACATGCAAGAATAAAAAAAAACAACTACCGGGATTAGTTTAGATTTATGATCACAAATAATTCAAGCTTGATCTAATACTTTCAAAAAATGATTTTGTTCACTCTAATATTGTACTAACAAAAGTGAACTTTGAATAGTCCTGATTTATATGAATAACTCATAGATTAAGGAAAGGGGACATTAGTAACTCTTGGCTTCTCTGAATGCAATTACCTTTTCCCTCTTACTATGCATGTCTCATATGGTGCTTTGCTTGAATGATGGATAATTTATAATGTATTAATTTCATTTCATTCAAACAAAACAGACAGAAAGTAGTTTCCTACCAACTATTGGTTGCTGCTGAAAGTGGTAGTTCACCTCCCAAAAAGATTGTCTGCTTCAAAGAATGCTAGCCTTCTGCTTCCCACCATTCAGTGGTGGGATTCAAATAATTTAACAACCGGTTCTCTGCCTTAACGATTTCTTCCAACAACCAGTTCACCAAACTGCTCAGAAAGTTAACAACTGGTTCTCCCGAAGTGGTGCAAACTGGCTGAATCTCACCACTGTCGCCATTCAATGCTAAATTCAAAGCTAGAAATAGCTCAAGTTAAACCCTGGTGAGTTGCTCATGTGAAGAATATCAGAGAGAATTGGAACAGAGAAGATCCCATTGGAGGATATAGCATTTGTGTCACAATTTTTTATTTTTATTTTATTCAAAACAATAAACTGCAAACTCAAAAATAAATACAAAAATAAATAAAACTAATAGAAAGAGTGCATATAATAATAAATAAATTAAATAAATAAATAAAACAGGCATAAATCCCCCCCCCCCAGTCAAATACTGATAAAGATAAATATTCAAAGTATAGGAAAAGTTGTTACAGGATGGCTAACTATAAACAGAGGTATGCCTGTTTCTTTTGTCTTTCAGCCTATTAGCAGCCAGTGGAGGAAATCGGCGAACTGCAAATGTGATTGCTCATGGATTTGCCAATCTTTTTATTCTTGATAAGAAGACACTGAATGAAATCCTTGTGCACTATCCTGAATCTGAAAGGCACTTGAGAAAGAAGGGAAAGTATGTGTTTTTTATGTCTATGAATAGAAAACCTGTTGCTGTGATAAGTGTTTTGATACATTACTATGGTATATCTTAGCCATAATGTTAGTATTATAGTTGCAGTATTTTAAAGGAGAAGCATGATTAGTGCTGGAAGAGAAACAATTCAAGATTAATATGTTAAAAACTATAGGTCTAAACCAAGTTCTTCAAAGTTAATAAAGATGGGTAGACTTCAACCCCTTCGGGGAAAAGGGCGGCATATAAATGTAATAAATCCAATCTAAATCCTAAATCCAACTCCCAAAATTCCACAGCCAAAATGCTGACTGGGAAATTCTGAGAGTTGAAGTCTGTATATCTTAATGTTGCCAAGTTAAAAAAAAACATCATTCTAAACAAAAGGTTTAAAAGTTACTGTTTTATGTGAACACTACATGGGGCTACTTAGAGATTCTTACTGCAAAGTAGCATTATATTCTGAGTAATATTACAACTAGGTACAGAATGTGTGGAATTTTTTTTGTCAACTGAGATGGAAATTACCCATGCACAGGCAAAACAGAATTGTTCATTTAAATAATAACAATAATAAAAACAATTGTGCATTGGAAGATCTACAAGAAATCCTGTTTGTCTATAACCAAGAACTGGGTGGAACCACAAAACAGAGAAAGAAAATGAAGATGATAAAAAGCTCTGGGACTTTAGAATTCCAACCAAGAAGCACCTGGCACATAATATCCCACACTTAACAATTGTCAAAAATAAAGACCAAAAAAGTCTGGATAATGAATATACTAGTACCTGGCAACAGCAAAGTAGAAAAGAAAGAACTGGAAAAGATAATAAAACATAAAGACCCACAAATAAAAATAGAATGACAATGGGACAAGAAAGCAAAGATAATACCAATAGTAATAGGTACTCTTGGCTACAATTCCAAAATGTCTGGAACACCACTTGAATACGATCGGCATTGACAAAATCTCCATTGATCAATTGCAAAAGGCAGCTTCATCTGGAATAGCTTGACATCCTGTGATGATAACTTTGACACCATGAAAAAGAAATACCTCTCTATCCTTGGTCCTTAGGAAGGAGTTGATAAGTAGGCAAACATGCCCAATCCAGTCTCAACCATCCAGCTAACTGGGCAATGAACTGTCATGATAACAACTGACAATGGAAAAAGGAGAAGACAACCATATACGGTACTCTTGACTTGGAAACAAGGGAGAGATAAAATAAAAAAATGTAATGTTAAAAATAATGGAAACAAAGATAGGGCATAAGATGAGTCCCAAGTGTCCAGCAGAAGTTGCTGTATTTCATTGACTAATTAGGAAAATAGGTTTGGAAGATTTAATGGAGATTAGAATAATCATTAAGAAGCATTTGATGTTATATTTGATTATTTTTCCCCACCCTCTTCTTTTTCTACAATTTAGAGCACTTTTGAAGAAAGCAGGAAAACCTACTGGACCACCAGCACCATCTGTAAAGGGTCTAGCTCTCCTTATGGCTAAAGCGGAAGCACCTATGATGCTCAAAGCATTAACTGGTGGGAAAGGAGGCATTTTAGCCGCAATTAGCAGGGTGAAGAAAGAGAACGAGGCCCTGGTATGTATCTTTCATAGCCAGTATAAAACAAGAAAGACAGAAAATGGATCAAATTAAANTGTAGGAATGAGAGGCAAGGTTACGTAGAGACCTGCGCAGCAAACTGCCATGGTCTCAGTAGCCGTTTTCTTTTAACCTATGATCTCACCGAGCACAGACAGGCCGTATCAGGGAGTTATGTGAGATTCAACCTTGGTTGGGATGGCCTTCTGGATTCACAAGGGAAAAAAGAGGGAGTAAACCAAAAACAATACTGTTGCTGTCTGTGCTCTGTTCCGCTTGATGAAATTGTATAAAAGGGTCAAATAAACTCTGCATAGGCAGACAGACATTTTGGACACAACCTGCCATGATGGATTTCTGAAACCTACATTCAAATCACTGGGGAGGGGGATCATTTTTCAGTATACACCAATAGAATAAACCACCTTTTATCATTTTGTCTTGCAGATGAATCAGAATTACTGGAGCAGATGCCTGGAAAAATGCAGCTAGACATTGCAACTGATGTCAATTTTGCTATTGTCCGGAAAGTCGATTTGTTCAAAGTCAGTAGAACTTTGTGTAGTGCAACAATTAACATTAGCAAAAAAAATGTATAGCAAACAATAATAACAAGCATGTTCAGTTTGTACTACAACAGATATAATCAAATTACAGCAATTACTATGGGCTTGGTGAGGCTCATCAAGTTCTTATCAGTGGCTTAATAAGAACAATCCATAGAGATTCTACAAATACATTTGATCATCAAAGTGAGATATTGCAGCTATTGGAGTCATCACCCTGATGGTACTAGGATCATGTAAGATGCTGATCCATCCAAAAGGTTCAGTAAAGCAGGTGTCCCCAACCCCCAGTCCATGGAACGGCACTGGTCCATGGCATGTCAGAAACTGGGCTGCACAAACAAGCGAAGCCCCATCCACCGGATGCAGGCAGCACACAAAACCATGCGCCCTCCAGTCTACTGAAAAATCTCTCTCCATGAAACTGGTCCCTGGTGCCCAAAATGTTGGAGGCCATTACAGTAAAGGAACTCACTCATACCACATAGCAAACAGCTATTCCTTGAACTCTTCCTATTCCAATCTTTGCTTCCAACAGTTAGATAAATTAGTTTATCTGTTTCTTTATGTTGGCTTAGATTAAGATAGGAAAGACATAAGATACATGGAAGTAGTAACTGAGCTTGATCTAATAGCGGCAAAGACCTGGAATTACTGGACAACAATGCTTCTATGTGTCCTAGCTGTTCTCCATTATTTAGCTTGATTCTCACAAAAAACAACCACAAGATTAAAAATTGTTGTCAATGTTTTACCTTTACCTTGCTTGGCTGTGGTTCTCATAAAATAATTACCACATAAATAATCACATTGAAAAAAACTTAAATTTTTCTACACACAAAAAATGAGAGCCAAAGTTTTATAGGCCAAATATTTTGCATCTTTTTTCCCTTGATATTAGTCGTTTGTGAGAAAATTATCTCATTTTAAGATTTTCAATTATATTTCTCCTCTTTTGAAGAGCTTTTGTTCCATTTATATTTCATGTTAAACTTTTGTAATACATAATTAGGCCAAAAATTTGAAAAGATCAATACTCAGGTGGTATCAATTTCATTATCATTTTTTTTCCAGTTCCTGTTGCATCTTTTGTAATTTTTTTGTGTAGTTTCTTCTGAGCACTCCATTTCCATCTCCTTCAATTCTCCTTTAAATATTTTTTAAAACTGTGAGCATAGATGGGATTCCAGCACTGCCAGCAGCTCAGCTCCCAATCTGACTGCAAAAACTTTCTGTTTCTGCCATTTATCCATGAGGAACAGCTGTCCAGAATGCACATGGAGATCTCACAATCTCTGTTTGATCTAGGGAGATTATTCCAATCAGAATCCATCTTCCAACAGGTGTTCTCAGTTATGATGCCTCTCTGCTCCTTCAGAAACATTAGCTCACCAAAATTCCCCACCAGAAGCTGCCCACTGTTTAATTTTGCTGATAAGATTTCACTTAAATATATTCCTGAAAGAGGTTTGTCTTTCCTTTTAAACAGGAATGTGAATCCCAAATGATATGCGACATGTTGCTGAGATTGAAATCCATTGTGTATTTACCTGGTGACTATGTGTGCAAAAAGGTGATGCAATCTATTTGTTTTTAAAAAATAAAAAACTAATAAGGAGTTCTGCTGTAGATCAAAAATGAATGTTGAATAAAATTAACATTAAAATTACATACCATATATACTGTATATAATACAGAGCATGATCATCACATATGTTCTCAGATTTCTTACTTCATCCAGAAAATATAGGATAATTTTAAAAAGAATATGAATGTTTAGTATTTAAATCTAATATCTAGATTTTCCAAGATTTACGGAAACAGTAGCTATGAGTACAACAAATACAGGAACACTGGGCTTAGGGGGTCACTGTTTACTGTTAATATCACATAAAATTGTACTAGTGTTTCTACAAATCTCTTACTTACATAGAATACTAAGCAAAAATAACATTTTTAGAATTCCAAGGACAACACATACCACTAGTGAATCCATGCAGTTAGAAACCTTGGAAAAAAGGAGAGATTCTTTGGCTCTATCTTCTTGTGATTGCTGCAGGTTTGAAAATTATGCAGTGTGCTGGCTTGCAGGGTGGCAAATATAACATGAAATATAACATGCCAAACAATGCTCAGAAGCAGAGGATTGACAAGGTACTTCCCAAGGATCAGAGTAAGATTCTGTGCTTTTCACAAGTAGTATAAATAATATATACAATGTAAGATTTGCACAGTCAATTACGGTATCCAAAATAGTTTTATTGATGCAAACTGTTTACTAGCCTATTTGGACTTGAAAATTTAGCTTTCTGGCTAATTTTAAATAAAAAAAGCTTCCTTGTAATATTTAGAAAATATATTGTATTATAAGAGGACTTAGATTTTTCTATGCATGATCAATAAAATTTTTGCTCCTCCTTATCCTGGAAACAGGAAAATGATATTTGTATTCAAGGATTTTTGCTTTGACTATTTTAGATTATAAACTGCCACATTATTGTGTACTTTGGCTTGTCTAACTCTAGGAGGACATTGACAGTAATTTATAAGTAGCAACAATAAGGATCAATGTGTTATAACTCAACAAAAACTGTAAAAATTATTTGAAAAGGATATCTGGAAACTAATAAGAAAAACCATTCTTTCTTTCTAATGGTACAAGTGTAAATTCCTTAGAAGGTGGTAAAACATAATGCTATCATTTAAACAATTGTTATAATTGTATAATTTATTTTACTTTAAAAAGTGCTGGATAATTGGGTTAACATTGTTCTGTGTATTATTAAATAAAATGCTTTCTTTTCAGAATTATTTTGTTAATTTGAATGTTATAATAATGGCTATCTGTTGATCTTTGCTTCAGAATCAATGGAGAAGCTAGCAATAAATTTGCAAACAATGTCTCACTTAATGACCATGGTATAAGTGAAGTTTTAAGTCCATCATGGTCATATGATATCTTGCTTTATAACTACATCACTTAGTGAGGGAACTGCTGGCCACAATTGCGGGTTGTTAAGTAAGGACCAGTTGTATATATGACTTCTCATAGTTCGAGAGAAACATCTCTTTCAAAATTTCAGCATTCACTAAAGAAATTTGTTCTACTTGTACAAGACATAGTTTTAAACTTATAGGGCTTAAACGCACACACACATACACAGAAGTTAACTTAGTACATTAAAAATATAACAATGTTCAGTATATTCAATTATCTTTTCCCTTCCTCTTCAGCCAACTGGAACAGGAATAAAGGTAAAGGTAAAAGTCCCCTTTGCACATATGTGCTAGTTGTTACCAACTCTAGGGAGCAGTGTCATCTCTGTTTCAAAGCCGAAGAGCCAGTGCTGTCCGAAGATGTCTCCATGGTCATGTGGCCGGCATGACTAAACGCCAAAGGCACACGGAACGCTGTTACCTTCCCATCAAAGG